TGAGGCGATGAGTCATCCCATGGGGATACAGGCCGACGCGCTGGATAAACATTGTCCTGGCCAGGTGAATTGGAAGCTGGTTGGCGTCCATGGTACTCTATGCGCGAGGCTGCCCTAGATGCTTGAGGAAACCCCAACACGTCATCTTTAGCCAATCTCAGACAGCAGCAATACCATGTTCCTACTCGAAGGCGAATCGTGACGCCGGAGAAACTAGAAGCTCACAAAAGTGGACAACGGCGGTTTTGATATTACAAGTAGCGTCATATAGAGAGATCAGTTCAGGCCATGTAGGAACGCCTCGACAAGCCAACTGCTACCTTCTCATGTGCCTCATACCACAGTCAAGAAGATGCGCCTCCAGGCGGCAAAGTACGAAGGGAAAAGTCAGAAGAGAAGGAAGAAAGATTTTCATGCGCCTATGGGTTGATCGTTGGCAAGATCAAGAACACTGGTTGCTGAGATTTTGTGAGAATGAAGAACAAGTATTTCTCGGTTTCTCTAAGTTTGACTCAATGAATAGACAAGTACATGGAACAGCCCGATTTCTTCCATCCTTCAAAAAACAACCGTATGTCTAATCGTGCCAAAGATCTTGTGTCATAGTAAAACCTTTTGTTTTCCAAGACTGAAGAACAATAATGGACTGGGCACCCTGTCTAATGCTCCCCAAAGGATCACAGATGGATTATCGTATCGGTATTTGCGTCATCTATAAGAAGCTTCGAAAGAGGCATTAGCCTCAACTGTAAGTTTTTGCCTTGAACGAAGTTTCGTTACAGAAAAAGGCTTGATTTCTGACACCACATGATCTCATCAGCTTTATTTTGAGACCACACAGGCGGAGAAGGGCGAACGCCGCAACTTGCTTGAAGCTTGCCTATGAAAATGGGCGTTACAAAACACCCCATATGCCAGCGGCCGCTTTTGTCTAAGCAAATGATCACCAATACGAAACTTTTAGCACCTCTGCCCCTATGTCCATTGCTGGACAGGAGCCAAGATCTTCGACGGCAGCCCTAAGTCCCTTCGTACTTCAGCCGCTCAAACGAACTCAGGTACCCGGCGCCAACGCCGGGAGCACCTGCCAGTAGTCATCAAGATCTCGATCGAGGGCTGCAAAGGTCCTGCAGGCTGCTCAGCTGGGAGGCGCTAATGCACCAATCGCAAATACCTCTGGCTGCCAAAGACAGGAATCACCATGACCAGGACAAGGCCGATAGCCATTTGGGGACCCCTCGAAGGAAATCATGGATCTCACTTCAAGTGGGGGCCGGAAACCAGCAAACCACCCATGAAAACCGACCTGTCGCAGAATCCAAGACCAAGGAAGGGGAACTGAAAAGTCTTTTCCTCCCCGTAACGCGACTCTCACGCCCATCACGCCCACTCACACACATGCAACATTCCCCGGATCCTATCTTCCTGCATACCCTAGTGGCGCTCCGTAGCCCCGTCCCTGGAGGCAGCGAGACTAATCTCCAAACGCGATTGTAGTTTTCCCAATGTGTCGACTTGCAGATATCGGGGAGAGACATGCATGTACTGAGAATCCGGACAGCGCCCGTAAGCAAGCCCACATGCAAGATGGGGCATGAAGGGTTGTGCAGAGATGTCACGCACGTCAAGGACGCCACAAGACACAGGTATCAAGCCTCATTTCCGTTTCCCCATCTTACAGCCGTACGGCCTTATGATCGTCGTCTGAGATATTGAAGATCAACAAGGTATTGATGAACCGTTTGAATGCTCTCCATCTGCCGTCCGCCCTCCACCCTCACAAAGCCTTTCATGAAACTCCCCTTGAAGGCGTTTCTCAAACATTGCATTCTTCCCAGCATCAAGACGCGTGGTCAGCTCGCCCGAACCACGCCTAGCCCCCGTGGAAAACAATGGGAACAAACCGGACAAGAGAACTAGTAAAACTTTGCAAGTGCCTCATCCGACATATACCAGTCCATTTTGTCTCGACCCAGAATCTACTGGATCGTGGGTAGAGAATGTCAAGATAGACACACACGTCAAACAGGCCAAGTCTAGCCCGTTGTGAGAGCCAAGCCACCGAGAAACACACACACACACACAAACACACACATTCAACGCTGGGCCTTCAGGCTCCCGCCCGCGCGATTTACCACGTCTCATTCCCCGATAGTGCCCGTTCCTCGGTCTGTCCAATCCACGCCTGGCCCAGACAGGCCCGCAAAAGCCGTCCCGGCCGGCTCACCTCTAGTGTCTCAGTCCGTCTCCTTTCGACCCCTGCCACAGTGCGACTTCACCTGCACCACCTTTTCATCTCTGCCTTCTGGGCAATTTAAGCCTCCTCGACTTCACTACACATGGTCCCAAGCACGTGGAACCTTTTCCGTCTAATCCTGCCTAAGGCTTCCGACCCATGGACAGCTCCGATCGGGAACGCACGCCAGATGAGACAGTGCGGTGTTGAGTTGCCCTCAGGGATTCACAACAACTCAAATCCCATTCCTCGGGGTTTCGTATCCTCGTCCCGGAAGCCTAGTGCCTGCACAAACCCTCTCCTGTGCGTTTACGAAAGACACGAGTTCAGAGTCAAGAACCTCACACGCCCCGGGCTCACGAAAAGCAATGTCTTCAGATTAGAGTTGCGTCCGTTCTCCCGGCCGCGCTACTCAGCTAAACCCGCCGCTAAGTACCAACACGCCCCCCATTTCTCTCTCGCCCAACCATCACCACTATCGCTAACTTGTCATCGTGGACCCCGTCGCGACGCGTCGGGGACCAGCTCCACCAGGTGCCAGGCACGGCGCACGTCCGCGGGTCAGGAAGGCCCAAGGAGAAAGGCTAGACGTGCATCCAAGACAATTGCCAGGTTCGGGGTCGATCGTCCCAAGATTGTGGGAAAAGGGTCACCAACAGACGCGTCCCCCGGGGTCCCCTGGGCCCCGGCGCCCTCGAGCTCTTAGGAGGCGCTCAATGTTCACTGGCGCTTTCCCTCCAAATGGCGTAATCTAACCTACCCATGGTGGATGCCCCTTCCCAGCTCACATCTCATATCCGTGAGAGCCGCCGGCCACGCGAATTGCAGATACGAATAGCGGAAAAAACCAAAAACTGGCGATGGTAAAGCCATTCCTCACAGAGGCTTCCATCCCGAGTCTAGCAGACAAGCGTGTAGAAAAGCCAAACATGGCAGAGTTGCTCAGTTCTCGACACCGTCATGGCCATCGCCATGCTAGCGAAGAACGCCTAGAAGGGTGTAAAAAAAAAATACAATTTATCGCAGCGTTTGTCAATTCTCACAATCTCACAATTCAGCGAATATTTCCTCCGCGAGGGTTTTCTTTTGCGCTTTCCCATTCGGAAGGTTTTGGGAAGAACTGGAGACGAAGTGGCGCTGTCAGCCAGGCCTTCTTCACCACGAGGGCTCACAGCGGGGAGCAGCTGAAGTGAGCCATGGCGCCAGCTCAGTCGCAATAGGCTGTTTGGAAATGTCTTTCTATCTCGATTGAGTCTTCACGGCTGGAATATGATTCCGTACAATGCCCGTATGTTGCTTGTTTCTCAGCCTAAGCTGACATGAAGTGCCTCGATGAGCCCGGAACCATCCTCGCTCTCTGGGTGGTTGCTGGTGACGTCAATCGGTAAATGAAATATGGAGTCACGCATGAGGACGAGTGAGAACCCCATCTCGTTGAACCTCCCTCGTGAAACAGAATATTGAATCCTTACCAACACTAGGCGATGACCAAGAGATGTTGCCGAAGCCGATCGGGGACAAAAATGGTCAATCAGGAGATCGCCTGGAAGACCCGATCGGGTGTACCATGTACGTAACGTATTGCCTACCTTAAGAATCGGGGCCCGGAGCAGCCAGGCTCCGGCACTACCGCCGAAGCCTTTCCACCGAGAGTAGCCGGCCAACATGTCAATGTTTGATAGTCCGGGCCTTGTAGCTGTGAAGCGAAGAGCAACGCAGCCAAGTAAATGATCTGTGTGAACAGAGGGCTCAGTTCGCCCAACTCTCTGCTGCGCTTCCCAAAAACTGACGGTCTTCTTCATTCCCGCCAATCCCAGAGGTTTGATCCCGCCTGCTACCCCACCATCCAGGTCGGAGTCCGGGGTGCGGATGCGGCAGTCAACCCCGCATTCGCCGGCAGTCCCAGTTCCAGTACCAGGGCAAGGAAATATCCCGTGAATCCCGTCGACGCAAAGGTTCACGAGAGTGGGTGCGCCAAGTGATGTCGGCAGTGCTGGGAAATCCAAGCCTTGGCCTTGGTAAAGACTCGGTCAACTATCCGACCTCCAAATGATACCGGTATTGCAAAATTAAACCTTGAGATTCAGTCCATGGAGTCTGTCGTAGAGAATCATTCAGTTGTCGAGTTCGAGTTGAATGATACCAGAAAGAGCTTCAAAGAATTCCGTGTCACTCATGAGCCCCCGGCCGCTCGCCAACAGCCGGGTTCCCCTGATTCGTGGTTTCGACAAACATGTGTGCCCCGTCTTCCGGTTTCCGATAGCACCCCGGGAGCCGCCAATCGCAGACAAGAATTGTGTTAGCTCAAATGTGACTGTGCTGTCGAATTGCCGCCAGCAGGGACGTTAAATCAGGAGGGGGCATGATCATCGTTGCCCCAGGTAAATAAGCTGTCAGCCCCTGGCATGTTAGATCTCTCGTGACCTCCCATTCTGGGGTCTTTGCGGAAGGTAGACTGCCTTTTCTGAATTGGAGTTAAGAAATCAGTGACCATTCGCGCGGATGAACAGGTACTCTCATGTGAGTTGGTTTGATGCCCGCCGACGGGAAATAGACGAGTGACGGAGGGAGCTTCTCATAATATCGCCAAGAAACTCAAAACGAAGCATCGAACATCCCACCTTTGACATATATATATAAACATAGAGGCCATCGATATCGTAGAATCGCCTACTCCAGCCTGAACCAGTTATCTCATCTCTGCCCCAAACCCGTCTCTGATCCCGCACCCGGCCCCACACTCACCGTCCCGAGCCCCGTCACAATGAAGTTCTCCGCCATCCTCGCCCTCCTGCCCCTGGCGGCCCTCGCCACGCCGACACCCACCGTCGAGAAGCGCGCGTCGACCTACTGCGGCCAGTGGGACTCCGCCGTCACCGGCACGTACACCGTCTACAACAACCTCTGGGGCATGTCCTCCGGCACCGGCAGCCAGTGCACCACCCTGACCGGCCTGTCCGGCAGCAACCTCGTCTGGTCCACCAAGTGGAGCTGGTCCGGCGGCCAGTACAACGTCAAGTCGTACGCCAACGCCGTCGTCAGCATCACCAAGAAGGCATTGAGCTCCATCGGCAGTATCCCCTCGACCTGGAACTGGAGGTACGTAGTCCAAACCCCTTTGCCATCCCGTTCAAGTGAGAGGAGGAATATGCTAACATGACCATAAACAGCTACTCCGGAAGCGGCCTCGTCGCCAACGTCGCCTACGACCTCTTCACCTCCTCCACGGCCTCGGGCTCCGCGCAGTACGAAATCATGATCTGGCTCGGCTCCCTCGGCGGCGCCGGCCCCATCTCCGCCACCGGCAGCACCATCGCCACCCCGACCATCGCCGGCCGCACCTGGAACCTGTACAAGGGCACCAACGGCCAGATGACCGTCTTCAGCTTCGTCGCCCCCAGCAACGTCCAGAGCTTCAGCGGCGACCTCAAGGCCTTCGTCACCTACCTCATCAACAGCCAGGGCCTGCCCTCATCCCAGATCCTGCAGAGCATCGGCGCCGGCACCGAGCCCTTCGTCGGCTCCAACGCCGTCTTCACCACCTCGGCGTACACCGCGGTCCTCAACTGAGTGGGTGTGACTGTGTGGGCTTAGGTCAGCTCGCGGACGCTAGTGCAGATGAGCTGTCAGTTGGTTAGTTGTGGAGTTCTGCACAAGCTGAGACAGACATGTGGATTTGGCATTAGTGTCTTTGGGCAGCTGGATCCCCTTCTTCTTTCCTGTTCATACTTATTCCAAAACATAGTATATATCACAAATGACCAAAATGCTTTGGGACTGAACCACCGTAAAGAGACGAGTCAGAAACAAAACGTTGCGAAAGAGACATTTGAACATTGAAAGCTGCTATCGCCAGTAGTTTGGCGCTCGATAGTGTGCCACGCTTTGCTGAACAGAAACCTCGAGCTTTCCAGACCAAAAGGAATGCTGGAGAGGTCTTCTGGCTCCAGCCATGCCTTCAACGGCCGCCTTTTTCGCTGCCTCGCATTCAGCCCTGCTCTCGAGCCGGAATTTCTTTATCGCCTCTAGAATATCCCGCATTCCGTGGAGTTCTGCGGGCTTTGGAGGCTTCAGCTCCAGTGGCATGACAATGGCGTCCCACGCGGCATGGAAGAGCAGTGCGCCCGGTGGGACGCCCGCCTTGATGTGGTCAGGTGTTGCGGGACCAACTCTTGTCCTCAGCACTGAGTGTTGTACCAACTTCATGTACTCATTAATTGCGGCAGTAGCTGGCAAACCGGGTCCGATCCAGACTTTCCGTTCGAAGGTCTGCCTATGCCATGTATCGTGAAAGTCCATGTATTCATCCTCATAATCACTGAACGGAAAGAAAGTAAAGCGGCCCGTTGCCGGGTCAGCCAGGTGCATGGCAGTGGCCTCGACGTCTGCCGCTTGCTTTTTGGTGGCGTTTTGGGGGCGGGGCTGATGCAGCTCGTCGCTGAAAAAGCTGAAGCCCTCGCCTCCGTCCAGAAGATCCCCGGCATCTAGGTCGTCTGATGTCGAGAACCCTGCGGGCTCCTCTGTTGATTCAGCCTCAAATTCGAGACGAAGATGGCGGACGCCGCGGAGCAGTGCAGGGCAACGCCGAGTGGAGGACAAGGACGCCGACAAGGACGACGACATCTCTTGTATTGCCCGCTCTTGTAAACCCAAAACTTTTAGGAAATGCACCAATTTCTCAATCACAGGCCCATTTGACCGGCGGGGGATATTAGTCAAGGTAAGCGATGTCAGTCGGGGGTTCATATCTGGCTCAAACGCCTGCGAGAAGGCCATTTCGGACCTTTCCCGGACGGTGGTCTCCGCCAGCCAGTTGCACGCCATTTTTGAGAAGGTTCCTACCTCCAGTGTTGGTATCTGGGTAACAAGCGAATGGTGAACCCGAAGAGCCCTCAGATTGGACGAGAACACAGGTCGGAAGACGTGCGAGCAACCCAAGACACCGGATAGTCGCACGTCCTTTGACCATGGGAGCGACTGCCTCGCATCAGATCGCTGCACGGGCTGGAAAGCCAGGCCATCGCAAGACAGCTCTTCAAGCTGGCCTTGGGAGCTTCTGATCAGCTTTTCAACGCCTGCAGAGGTGATATGCGTGTCTGAGATGTGCAGATGCGTGATCCCGGTGGGAGCAGTGCAGACGTCGAGAAGCGGCACCTCGGCCCAAGCAGGTACCGGCCGATCCATACTTCCTGCGAGTGCGGCCTTAACGTGATCCGCGATGTCTCGCCTTAATGGCGCACTGCCATTGGACCGGACTGCTTCGTCCTCCTGCAGGTCCCGAGTCGCATCGGCGGAGTACACTGGGGCATCGACAAAGTGTCGCTCCGGATGTTTGAAGGTGCCGCTCCAGTCAGACTCGTGGACAGAGACGAATCTGCCGTGGGAGTCATTGCCGTGGCCGTCGGATGACAGTTTACCTTCCGCCATGAACCGGGACTGAGACCGTAACGAGGGACTATTGAAGCACAACGCGACGAACTCGTCGATGATTGCATCGGTGACGCTGTTTTCACTGAGGTCTAAGCTCCACAGTCTGCCTTTGAAAGCTTGAAAAAGCTGCAAAGCAAGCCCGTCGTTGATCTCCCGGCGTCTTGCTTTGAGGACCTTCAGATGGCACAGATGGCGACGTCCGTGAGCTGCCGCCAAGAGCGGCTGCAGGGAGCCCGGAAGGCCGGATACGTCAAGATAGACAAGGTGTTGGAAGATGTTCGAGGTGAAAAAAGCAGACGGCAACTGTGCCTCGCAGTGAGCCATGCTCAGCACCAACAGCGGGGCCTTCGCCCCCGAATTTGGGGCCGCATTCAAAGTGGCCGGGTCGGCCTCGGTGTGACCATCCAACAAAATACACCGAAGGTTTGGGAGTACTCTGGGCAATAAACGCAGCGTCTCTGGTATTGTCCTGTTGGTATTGTGGAAGTGGGCGGTGTCCTTGGCGAACACACGAAAGTCAAGGGTGGTGATGAGGGACAGGGTAGACTGTCTAACGTGCTGCACGCGGTCGAAAGCAAAAGTAAGGTACCAGTTGAGGTCGTCGCTGGGATCCAGCCCCAGCCGGCGGACGGCAACCAACGGGTCGTTCCAGAGGCGGGGAGCAAAGATTGCATAAAAATGCCTGCTAACAGAGCAAAGGCTGGAGAAGTCCTTGTACTCGACGTATGGTGCGACAAGCTCAAGCCAGTCGAGCCTGCTGACAGCATCCTGGTACGATGGCAATTGGGTGTCTTGGGCCATTGTCGCCTGATGAAACAGTTTGTCGGCCGACGATACGTTACAGCGGATGATCCTCCACTGGTTGATGATGGAGGGCGATGGCCAGCGATGGCGGATGATGGCAAATGACGACGGACAGTGACGGATGGCGATAGAGATGACGATGGAGACGGCGACAAGGATGATGCGGCGACCTCGACTGCTGCAATGCAGGAACTGCCCGCGAGCCGAACAGTACCTTACAGTGCAGCGAAAAAAGAAAAAGAAAGTGGCGCGAGAAACGCGGGTGGTGAAAGAAATGCGAATGATGCAGGTCTCGTTCCAGTGAGCGACGATGCGCCAGAATGACGACGAAATGGCGATCTAACCAAGGGGCCCCGCGTTTGTCGTTTGTCGTGTGTCGTTGGGATGAGATGGTGGTGTTGGTGGTTCAAGTAAGCGCAGGCGATCGGACGATGAGACGAATTGACGAGGTGGTGGCACCGTCGCACGTGTCCAACGTGTGTTTGCCCGACGACTGTGACGAACGGACGCCGTTGCCAGTTTGGATTGACAGATTGACAAGACAGACACAGTCCGGGCGCACCACACCTGTCTACGGACAGGTGAACCAGGCAACGAGGCTTGCTGGGCCGCCCGATTGCTTCTGCCGCCTCATGTTCAGTGTCGGCTGCTGCTTGACGTCAGGCATCCCGGCCGAAGCTGGGGGCGTGAGATGCATGCCCACGCGGTTCGTCCGTACGTATTGAATTGCTTTGCACACGAATAAACAATGTGACGGAAATGATGGGGAACAGACTCCGTGGGGGCCAGGATGGGCTTGCCGCCGCTTTTGTTTGATTACATAAGGATTGGAGGCTTGGACAGTTACGCCACATCCGCCAGCCTCCCCCGTTTGCTAGCAAGCCATTAGAGGTTGCCTAGACGCGACAATCAATAATGTCTTCCTTCAAATACAGTTGCCAGCTGAAAGAGAACGAGAGAAGTGACACGAGCCGGGGTCGGGAGGCCGCTTCGGCGCTAATGGCGCCTCCGGGACCCACCGAGCCCCATATGACGGCTTCCCCGGACCAATCCACCTGTGGCTCCGCTACCCGTGTCGGCGGCCGAGCGCCGGTGCGCCCCACATCAGCGCACGGCGCACTTCTCGGCTCGGAAGCCTTGCTTTGGGGAAGGTTTGCGCTTCAGCCCCCCGTCAACTGTCAATCACTTCGACACCACACCTTAATTCATCCACTCATTCAGCTGGAACAAGCAATCGCCAAGCTTGCATCCCCTGCTGTGATGGCAATCGTCGCAACCGAGCGTAAGCAGATCATCGATGGCGGGATTCCGCTCACATCCATGCTCTTGATATTTTCCAAGACGATATCTTGCAGCCTGAGATATGGTGACTATCTACGGATACAGCTAACATAAGCCAAATCTCGGTCTTGTCGTTTAACTCGTGCATTTTGTTTGCTTTGCGTCCATGCAAAGTAAAGGCAACTGTTTTCTTTTCGTGCTAATATGTACGGTAGCTCCGGCCGAGAATGATTGTGGTTTGAAGTAGATGAACAAATGCAGGAAACATCCGTAAAGAACCATCGAAACATGTTTGTTACGATCAGCAGGTCAATTGACAAATCCCCGACTGGTAGCACAACGTGGTTGTCACCGTTGCAACCTAGGCCTCGGGAACGGTCACCCCTGCGTTCGAGGATGGGCAGCTGCAGTAAGCAAACCAGATGGCGCAGCTGCCCGCATTCGATCAGCTGCATCTCCTGCTGTGCAACGAAACGAGCACAACGAAGCCGTAACCTGAAACGTGCACTCAATAGTTGCATCTGAGCAAAGAAAAAATCCTCCGTCTGGTTGCATGCCGAGCTACCGGCCAAGATCGACGCCGTATGGGATCATCAATTCTTCAGAGTTCAATGAAGACTCACAACCGACCGTTGCCTAGATTGGCAGATGCTACATGATGGTCCGATTTCAAGTCGCCCAATCTTTCCATCATTTGTGACTGATATTGACAGCTCAGATAAACAAGGAAACGAGATGCACACCAGACCTAATCAGGGCTTGCAAAGTGACAAGACCGAGATCGGCTACTACCAAGTGGCAAGGACAGTGGTCACATCAGCGACCGATATAGACAGAAGGCCAAAAAAGACTATGTAGAGCTAGGTAGAGGTGAAATATCAGAAACGGGGAGACCAAAATCCGTCCACAGCGCCAGAACCACGAGGACGTTTGGCGGTTACACGGCATCCACCCTCGGCCGCCGCCTTTCCCCCGATCACCAAACCCCTTCAAGACAAGCCAGACGGAGATTTTCCAACTCTTCTCCGATATCCAATGTGTCCCCTAATTGCCGG